GATCTGACTGGTGTGAACATTCTCCAAACATTTCTCTTAATGTTTATAGAAGTCCTAGAGGTTGAAATATTATGAGAGTGAGTAAAGTGTGACAAAATGAATAATGCTGCCTTCACATGCTATCGAAAATGTCCTACTTCCTACCTCTAAAGTGATTACATACTCATCGCATTCAAGTGCTTTGTTGTTGGAAAGAACAGGAACAGTGGAGGACACCAGGTATATTCTTGCTTATTTGGAAGATCTTATTAAAGCCAAAATATGTTTAAAGTTCCACCATGTTTAAAGTTTGTGGCCCACCCATCTTAGGAACCTGGGTATTAAAATTATCCCAGAGCTTCCCAGTGGTAAATACGACTTGAGGGGGGCGTTCATGTCCAATTTTTAACAAGGAAACTCATATTTACGCTTATTCCGATAGCACGTGAAGGCAGGATTATTCCTTTGAATAGGAATTTTACATCTCATATATGACTAAACTAAAGATTATTGTGCACATACGCAAAGACACACAGGAAGGGCTACTCTGTTGGACATGTAAAATGTATCTGTACTATGCATTATTGTGGTCTACACCGAAAAGCTACAACATTAAAGACACTTGCCTAATATCATGTTGGTCCTCCTTTTGCTGCCAAAACAGCTCTGATGCCTCGAGGGATGGACTCCACAAGATCTCTGAACGGGTCCTGAGTGCAGATCAAGCACTATATAAATGTAATGAATTGTTATTTTTATCATTTATGGAACGGATTTATTGGTCCAGTACATCCCATAGATGCTCAATCAGATTGAGATCTGGGGAATTTGGGGAACATGATCCTCAACATAAATTTTGGATCATGTTCCTCAAACCATTCCTGAACATCTTTTGATCATTGTAGGTGCTTTCGGCGGTGGACTGGGGTCATCATGGGCACTCTGACCGATCTAAGCTAAGCAGCCTCATTCACAGCAAACTGTGATGCACTGTATGTTCTGGCATCTTTTTATCATGGGCAGCCTTAAAGGGGTCATCGGATGCCCATTTTCCACAAGTTGGCATGCTTTTTTGGTATGAGACTTTAGGGTCTTCATGTAAAGTTTGTAACATACTTTGGGTAAAATTCCTAAATGGTTGTGTAAAGCAACACCCTATTTACCTCCTCAAAAACAGCTCTATTCACACCGACCCGTTTCAGTGCATGTCACTTTAAATGATAATGAGCAACTGCTCACCCACCCCTCTCCTTCGTGGGGCGTGTTGACACAAGACACGTAAAGGGCTGCCTTGACAACCTGCCTTGGCAGACAGTATACAAATGGCTAAGGGCGGAAATATGCAAATGCTGGATAGTCCGTCAGTGGTCGTGAGCGGAGCATGAGCAATATGACATCATATTGCTCAGAAAATCCAAACGGCTTGATTATTGAGAGTGTTTAGGCTTTTGAGGATTAAAAAAAAGGAGTGAATGGATGTTCCCTTTCGTTGTCACTCCGAGTTCCGTCGGATGACGACGAATGGGAGTTTCGCTTAGAAGCCTATCAACTTCAAGTAATACAAAACGAGCCAATGGCAAAGAAATACCATGGGTCTGCGGAATTTGCATAGGTTAACTCCGCATCACCTTGTGGGTATTTAAGGAGAACGCTGGCAGCAATTCAGACATTTTTTCGCTGAGGAACCAAGTTTACCCTTCGTTCCTGTAGCCTTCTCTGATTTCGTCAGCTTTTACGAAAAGAGCGAACTCTCCAGTGTTGGTGTGACAGCGATCTCCCGGTGAGGACACACTTCCTGCTAATCTGTGCGTGGTTTGCCAGTTGGTGTGTTTCTCCGCGGGCGCTTCAACAATTGAGTTTTCCTTTTTTTCTAAAAAGAGCTTGCACGCGGCACGTCTTTATAAAGATGCCTCGCCCGTGCACTTCTGGTTGCGGTCGGTTTGTATCTGACTCTGATGGGCACGAGCGCTGTCTAGTGTGTTTGGGCATTGATCACGCTAGAGCAGCGCTCGTGGATGACTCATGTTCTCTCTGTGGGAACATGACCATCGCAACACTTAGATCAAGACTCAGTGACCTCGCAAGAGAGAGAGCCCCCTCATCCACACCCCGATCTAGCGCCTCCACGAGGGGCTCTACTTCGGCTGGTGGCCAGGCCGATCTGAGGGTGACTGTGTGGAACAAAGCGCCGACTATCTGTCCGTGCCCCACAGCACCTTCTCCAGTGTTGCAACCCGCGAGTGCTCAGAGGATTGCCGCGGGACCATCTTCGGGTGCCCCGCGGGTTTCCTTTGGCGCTCCAGAGGAAGATGCTATGTCGATCGCGGCATCACAAGGTGGGTCTGAGTCTTCTGGAAGTGACGACTCGTCACAGCTGCCGCCTTCGGGTGTGAATACGGCTGTGACTCAGTCTGATCCGGAGATGGCGGCCATGCTTTCCCGGGGCGCCCGCGTGCATCGGGTTAGAGTGGACTCCTCCACCCTGTCCCGAGCGCTCGCGGCTGGACGATTGGTTTTTGGGTGCAGCTGCTGGTTCCCGTCCGCAGCCTGCCCCAATACCTTTCTTCCCGGACGTGCATGATGAAATCTCGAAGTTCTGGAAGACTCCCATGTCTTCTCTTGACCGCTCGCTGATTTCATCCGCCTTTCCTCCCCTTGATAGAGCAGCTGCCCGTGGGTACCCTCGATTGAACGCTCTGTTGCGATGCAACTGTGTCCTCAGAGTGCTTCTTCTCGTGGCGAGCCTAAGCACCCATCCAAAGCCTGTAGGTTTTCGTCTACACTTGTGGCGAAGTCCTACAGAGCGGCGGAACAGGCGGCTGCTTCTCTGCATGCCATGGCCACTCTGCAGGTCTACCAGGCCCAGATGCTCAGGGACATGCACGAGGGTAGGACAGACCCAGGGCTCTTTGATGAGCTGCGCGCCGCCACCGACCTCGCTCTCCGGGCGACGAAGGTGACCGCACGCTCCCTGGGTTTGGTGATGTCCACAGCTGTGGTCCAGGAGAGACATCTGTGGCTGAACCTGGCTGATATGAAGGATGCCGAGCAGTCCCGGCTGCTCGACACCCCCATGTCCCAGGACGGCCTCTTCGGTGGCGCAGTTGAGGATTCGCCCAACAGTTCTCGACTGCTCAGAAACAGACTGAGGCCATTAAGCATATCCTGCCCCGGCGACCCGCTGCTGCCTCCACCCAGTCGACCGGGCAGGCGCCCTAGTCTGTTCGCCGCCGAGGGCACCCTCCTGCGGCTCCCGCCCCTCCCGCCCGGCCCAAGCAACAGCCTTCACCCGAGCCCGGCCGTGGAGGAAGCCGCAGGAAGGCACCCCAGCCCTCTCCAGCCCCGAAACTCAGCGAAGAAACATGTCTGAATTGCTGCCAGCGTTCTCCTTAAATACCCACGAGGTGAGGCGGAGTTACGCTATGCAAATTCCGCAGACCCATGGCATTTCTTTGTCATTGGCTCGTTTTGTATTACTTGAAGTTGATAGGCTTCTAAGCGAAACCCCCATTCGTCGTCATCCGACGGAACGTCTCCGTTCCCTACTCAGGGAACGAGGGTTACATCCGTAACCGAGACGTTTTTCATTGTATGGTGGTTGTGTCCACACACTGCAAAGACACATTTACATGCAAACGCCATATAAAAGTGAATTTTGCATTTGATGACCCTTTTAAGTTTCTCAGAAATGTGAGCTAGACGGGCTAACCTTCGCTCCCCACATGCATCAATGAGCCTTGGGCGCCCATGACCCTGACACTGGTTTACCCGTTGTTCTTACTTGCACCACTTTTGGTAGGAATTAAAGACTGCCCACCGTGAACGCCCCACAAGACTTGGCCTTTTGTAGAAGCCTTGACCCACTCGTCTAGCCCAGTGCTTCTAAAACCCACCCCCACCACTGCACATTCCGTATGTCTCACTCATCGTACATCGTATCCAGTTCAAATCTTGTAGTCTCGACTAATTACCTGGTGAGTTGAATTTGGTGTGCTAGTTGAGGGAGACATCGAAAATGTGCAGTGGTTCCCCAAGACAGGTAGAGAAGGATTGGTCTAGCCATCACTATTTGGCTCTTGTCAAAGTAACTCAGATCTTTTTGCTTGCCAATTTTTTCTGGTTCCAAAACTGTTCACTTGCTACCCCCATACAGTGGTTCCCAACAATGGCCCTGGGGACACCCGGCTCTACACATTTTGTATGTCTTCTTTATTTAACACACCTGATTCAGATCATCAGTTCATCACAAAATAACTCCATTAACTGAACAGAGGGTTTCAGATAAAGGCAAGCTCACACCACACAACATTTGGCTTGGTTTTGATGTCGCAGACAAATTTCCAAGGTCTGTGACAAAACCCCCGTTTCGCAGCCAAATCGGTGCTCGTTAAGTATGAGCAGGTCAGCAAGGTGATCTGAGACTGTCAGGAGCAGTCAGAGATTCTGTGATATTTTCAAACCTGTATTTCCACATGATCTTGTAGTGTAACGACAAGGTGGAACTAATCCAGCCAATCACAGTGCATATGGAATAAATAGAAAAAATCTTGTAATCACTTGCGTGAATTTCTCTTGTGAATTTATATGAGAAAATGTTTTTTCGCTGTTGGTTGGGACTGGCTCTTGACCAAATGTCTTGTTTGTGCACCTCGTCAGCGTTGTGTTGTGTAGTATGCTATGACAAGACAACGACAGATGGCAAGAAACCTTGTTGTGTAGTGTGAGCACCACAGCAATTCAGTCTTACAGTCCCATAGTTTGAGCTTGCCCTAAGGGAGACAAAAATATGCAGAGCGGTGATCCCCAGGACAAAAGTTGCGAACCACTGCCCTAATATATCCCACCCATTGACAGGGACCATTGTAATGATATAATCAATATTATTCACTTCACCCGTCAGTGGTTTTAATGTTGTGGCTAATTGGTGCATATCAGAGAAGAGTTAGGTAGAACTTAAGCTGACACCAACTTAAATCTTAACAAAAGATTAAGTAAAATGTAAAATGTAGAATTTGCACAAGCATGTTAATTGCACTTTAATTGAAATAGTGACTAGCTAACTAATACAGTTTTTTTGCATTAATATCATTATCATCAATATCAACAGTTGCCTGCTAAACAGCAATAGCACACTTCCATGTGTAAATGTAACTAGCAAAGAGACTGCCACTATACATTTGCATGTACACGCATGTAAAACATACAGCACATAAAGTTTTATAGGTTTTTAATCCCATCCTTGACCTAATCACAAGCATACTCTTCATCCTTTAGCCAAGATGTCCCTGGAACCTGGGAGGAGAGGTCGCTGATGCTCTACAGGTAAATATAACCCACTCTAGGCTAGAATATAATGATCATTCAGAAGATAACGAATTAATGTCACAGATGAACTCTTAATGCATGCTGTATTTATTGTTGCATAATTCGAAAGTATTGATTTTAGCATATATATTTGAATATCCAAATCAGCCAGAAATCAAATGTCCATTTTCCATGTTGTGATTGTGGTATCCCAGAAGTGCTCTTCGACATCAGCCTGTTAAGTGAAAAAGATTAAGATGCTGAATTTACACAAATACACAAGAACAGATTTTCTGATCTGTAGTGTATAAATTAACCTGTTAGGTTGACATGGTGAGGTTCACAGCTTCAAACCCCATAAGTTCGATTGGTGAGGGAAGTGCCTTTTTGTAAGTTCGCTAGAGAGGACAAAGCAATAATATTTGTTTCAGCCTACAGAAGCAGAAAGGCAATAAGACGTATTTTAAATTGAAAAGACATATGAGAACATATGGAATGTTTTCATATGACAACAACCTCTGGAATTTTCACTCTCAAATCAAAGGTCTCTGGCGAGAGTGCTACAACAGTGACAGCTGCCTGGCGTTCTGGATTTGTCTCATATTTCTGGTAGAAACCCATAATATAAGATATGCCAGGCACATACTCTTGAATTCTGAGGGAAATTCATTTGAAAATAGAAAAATAACATATTAAAGGCATGAGATTTGAAATCTTATTATATATAGTAATCTCAAGCTGTGCATTGGTATTTCAGGACATTTACCTTTGACCAATTATTGTGAACACTGAGGGCAGAGCTCCCCAGTTAATCTTGGTGTATATGGAAGGTTTAGACTCTGGCTGGCACGCTGAGGACACCCTCATAGATACATCATATGTCTGACACTCTGCACCCCATTTGAGATGGGCCTAAAAACACAGGACAAAAATCAGTGAGGCAATATGGAAACCAATAAGAATAAGTTGCACAATAAAAAAGTACTTTACCTTTACTGATGAATGACTCTTATCTACGTTTGCATTGGCACATATTTTCCAGTTTGCTTGTTCACCAACTTCAGAGACTATCACTTCAAGATCGTCTCTTTGGGCTGTTGGCACATAAAAGGCTACACCTTCATAGCCCAGCGGTTTTGCTGGCGGACTTAGACCAAGTGCTTTTACTGTGACTACAGGCTCTGGAGTGGAATCAAGAGCCTACAGCATGAAGAAAATGGCAGAGCTTAAATTAGTTGACTAAGCAATCCCTAGATAGGTACTCTCTAGATATAGTTAGAATATTAAAGTGTTAACATTAATCATGTTCTTACAGTCATGTTAGATTACTTTTGCACAAATATATCACCGCTGCTCTTTTTATTTATTTATTTATTTTTTTACTACAAATAAGGAGTACATCTGGATTCTTTGGAATCACTCAAATTTAAATACATTTACCAGCAATTTTGCTATATAAATCTCTGGGTGGACTGAATGAAAACTTTATATACCACACACTGTATATCATGCAGCACATTTACAGTGTGTACAGTTGTAAGCTAGTCTTCATCTGTCCAAGTATACACAACATAATACATAATTGAAATTTTAAAGGATTAAGGAAGATTAAGTCCTCCCTTTATAAATATCTTAGTTTGATTCAATGATTTCAGATGTTTCTATTGCACCTGATATGCAGGGAAGGAACTGGATAGATTGTGTTCTCCACAGGAGGTGTTCTCATCTTTTGTGTTCTACATAGAGGGAACATGTAAAACAAAATGGCCGCACATTTATTCTCAGTTCACTACTGGGAATGATTCAGCCACTATAACTGATAAAGAGTACCTCGAATACTCTGCGGCTGAGATCCATCATTTCACTGACTCCTGGAGGGTGTTTTCTGCCCGCAGTGACCTGAATCTGAATTTTTTCAATGGGTTTTGCACCCTTTGCTTTGGAAAAAACAACAAGCTATTTAATGGAGTCCTTAAATATTATTTTTGCATTATATCAATAATTAATGCAAGGTTCTGGTACCTGGTTCTAGTTGATATGAAAAGCGGGTATGTCCCAGGAAGTAATATAAAGGATATTCATGAAGGTAATGTGATCGTTTGGCTTCTGCCTCCATACAGATCGCAGTTCCATAAATCTTGGCCTCAGCACATTGCCTGAATTTCATCGCAGAGTCCTCAGTCGACCATAGAAAAAGACATTTGTTTAGACCGCAGGATTTGCTAAACATCGTTTTTTTTTAGTGTTTAGTGTTAATCTAGTTCTAGAGGGCTGCTATACCTGTTCATCCCTTGAAGTGGGTAAAATTCTTCTGGCCAGTGGCAAACCCTGCCGGGAGTTCTCTGTCTCAGGCATCATGGGAGTAATTTTGGACAAGGATGGATCTTCAATGTTTCTCAAAACAGCAAACACATTAGAACTGTTTGATGAAGAGTAAGAAATCATTAGGATATTTGGTGGCACTTTATTGCATATAACAATGGTGCGGTAGAAATGTTGGAAAACATACTTGACTGAAAATAACTCAGTGACTGTTTTCTTCGGAGTCAAGTTCATTTCATACTTTTGCTCTTTCACGTTTATTTTCAAGTCAAATGCCCATGGCAGGTTAGTTATTATCTTACTCTTCAACTCAACACCACACTGGAAAAGATCTGTGTTGATTCCATGGAAGACAAAATTATCCTTTGTCACTCTGTAGACAGGAGGAAAGTCAACTTTAAGCAGAGAAACAATGAAAAATAAAGAAATAATTCACCCAAAAAAAAAAATTATGTCATTATTTAGTCACCCTCATGTGAATTTAACAACAGAAAAGAGGGGCTAGAATATTCTTTACATAGTGGCTAGGATATTATTTTACAAAAGAAAGAAAAATTAGATGAACTGTTTCTTTAACATGTTATGTGATCCAGGTGAGCACAGACATAAAGGTGCAGTCAGTAACCTTTCCCTCTTTAAAACATTTTTACTCAAAGAAATGAAGAGCACTTTGGGAACGTTTCATGCACACTGACACAGAAACGTCTCGGTTACGGATGTAACACTCGTTCCCCGAGTAGGGAACGGAGACGTTACGTCGTGACGACGAAATGGGGTTTCGCTTAGAAAGCCCATCAACTTCGAGTATTAAAAAATGAACCAATGGCAAAGAAATGCCATGGGTCTGCGGATTTTGCATAGCGTGACACTGCCCCACCTCGTAGGTATATAAGGAAGAACGCTGGCAACATGCAGTTATGTTACTTGCTGAGGAGCAGAGACTGAAATCAGGCTGTTCCAACGGTACAGCGAAAGTGGCAGGGAGACGTAACGTGTCCGTTCCCTACTCAGGGAATGAGGGTTACATCCATAACCGAGACGTTCCCTTTCGTAGTCACTACGAGACTGTCGTGAGACTAGCACGGACGAAGGACTCCAACTTAACACAGGAATACCAAGGTACACTGGGAATCATATCTCAGTGGAAATATTCAATTGTTGCCTGCCCGAAAGGGGGTGGGGGGGGGGGTTGGGGGGGACTTACAGAATATACATATGACCCGGGGGGGGGGGGGGCTGCATATGGAAAACACTGGTGTATCCAGTCCGCAGGGTGGAATGTTTCAATCCCAGGGGTGGCAACATGGCTTGTCAAGGGAAAGACACATGCTCAGAGAGGCTTACAGTGGAAATACACATGTGGGGGTCGCCCAGATTGGGAACCATGCACATGGCGGCAAATGGCCAACACGAAAGCTGCCGGTGGCATAACTCTGGCGTTTGACATCAACAGTGCTGGAGGAACTCAGGGCTTGTCGGGAAAGCTCATCTGAGGAGAATATCGCACGTATCCAGTCCGTGGAGTGGAATGGCAAGCAAGCGAAGACACCTGAGCAGATCCTAGTACCGGCTGGTTGAAGCGAGTGCATGAGAGGACACTGGCTCCACTCGGAGATAGTAGAATCTGGCGAATGTGTTGGGTGTCGCCCAGCCGGCAGCGCTGCAGAAGTATGTTAGCAAGACGCCATGCGCTAGAGCCCAAGAGAAAGCCACACTCCGAGAGAAGTGGGCCTTCACACAAGGAGTCGACCTTGCTGCTGGTATGCCAAGCAATGGTGTCCTCTAACCAGTGAGACAACCTCTGCTTGGAGAGAGCGTTTCCCTTCAGCTTCCCTGCATAGCAGACAAAGAGCTGGTCAGAGGTCCTGAAACACTTCGTTCTGTCTACGTAAGCACGGAGGGCGCGTACTGGACAGAGCAGTGCCAAGGCTGGGTCTGCCTCCTCCAGGGGCAGCACTTGCCGGTTCACCACCTGATCTCGAAAGGGAGTGGTGGGAACCTTGGGCACATATCCAGGCCGGGGTCTCAGGAACACGTGAGAATAGGCTGGCCCGAATTCCAGGCATGCTTCGTCAATGGAAAATGCGTGCAGGTCCCCTACCCTCTTAATGGAGGCCAATGCAACCAGGAGCGCTGTCTTAACTGACAGGAACTTAAGCTCTACTGATTGCAGAGGCTCAGGGGGAGCTCTCTGCAGGGTAGTTAAAACCACTGAGAGGTCCCAAGAGGGAACGAGAGGAGGGCGATGAGGACTCCTCGCTCCTCTCAGGAACCTGATGATCAGGCCGTGCTTTCCCACGGACTTTCCCTCGACTGCGTCGACACTGATCAGGCACGACACTGATCAGGCATTTTTTGGGGTCTTCTCAGTGAGAAGAGCACCAGTTGACGAAGAAGTTCCACTCCAACGCGTAGGCATGTCTCGTGGACGATGCTCTAGCAGAAGCGATGGTAGCCACCGCTGGTGGTATGGTACTCAAACCTGCCTCGTCACGTCCAGGAGCCACACGTGGAAGTTCCAAAGATTCGGACGAGGGTGCCATAGGGCGCCCCGTCACTGAGAAAGGGTCCTTCCTCAGAGAAATTGGCCAGGGAGGTGCTGTCACGAGGAGTACAAGTTCGGAGAACCAGGTCCGGCTGGGCCAATGAGGTGCAACCAATATGACCTCCTCCTCTTCCTCCCTGATCTTGCACAGGGTCTGTGCAAGAAGGCTCACTGGGGGAAACGCATACTTGCGGAGTGGTGGAGTCATTTGTTGAGACAACAACATGCCTGGAAACTCGTTCTAAGGGCACCCCGGCCCGTAGAAAGCTGAGGTTCGTACACGGGGTGAAGGTCTGACGGAGTTACTGGTACTCGGAACGTGCCTTGTTGCCATGCCCACCTCGGGACTCGATCGCGAAGCCAGATCTGAAGCGGTCTCATATGAAGCAATCCCAGCGGCGTTGCTGCGGCTGCGGCTGCGGATGCCACATGCAAGGCCAACTGCAAATTACAAAATTTTAACACCTGACACCTCAGTGTGAAGATCCGGGAGAAAGGGAAGGCTCACCAGAGCTGACCTGACAGGAATCGCTCATCTAGACGACCAATAGTGATTTTCTGTTTAAACCTGACCAGTCTAGCCTTAATCTGGTGGTAGCTAAAGTCATAAACTCCATAAGCTCATCATATGCGGAGCTAGGATATGAGGAGATGTAGATAAGATATCTGCCTCCATATCTAGTTTCTCTTAACTAGAGGCGAGCATGCTCTCAACCAATCCGGAAGAAGCCACAGAGCGGGATTCCAGATCAGCCATTAGAGCCACGGAGCAAGAGGGAAACCCCTTCAAGCTCCTTCACTAGCTCAATCTGTGATTCCCATGATCACGGCTACCAAGCTGCCTCAGCAGACGTGGGGCCGGAACCATGATGTACAGTTCCTTCCTGCTCAGCTACTGTTCGGACGCTCTTGCTTACTGCTCCGCGCTTTGCTGTATTGCTTTTATATTTTTTATCACTCTTTCGCTCTTTCGCTTTTATATTTTATATTTTATCTCCTTTTATCACCTAATTTTAACTTCAGCAAATCAGCACAGTGCTCAAACGCTTGATTACTACAGAAAAGCAGAATTATTTTCTCTGACCAGCCTAAGCTTACATTCCGGGGAAGGGAAAACACAACTGCCTACATTCAAAAGGATAAGAGAAAATGCCTCTTCTGGAATCTACTTGCTGCACTAACTGCCAGAGACTTTTACAAAGGATTGCAGTTCTTGAAACAAAGTTACTTGTGGGACCACCTAACCAGACGGAACACAGAACAGAGCTTCGTCATGGACACCCTCAGCATACAGCCGGTGAGTCCCATGAATCCAGTGCTCCAATACAGGCCATACTGAGTGTAGAGAAACAAGCCGATCGACTTACAAATCGATGGCACAAACAGGGAGAGAACAGATTTGAAGTATTAATGAATGAGGAATCCCTGAATGTGATGAATGTGATTGAACACAGACTGAATCAGCCAGTAGCTAACACTGCTAACTGGCGCTCAAGGTCGAACAGACAGCGGCACTCAGTTCAGAGCGCAGCCGAGCACAGGACTCTGATAGTGGGTGACTCCATACTCAGAAACATTATTAGCAGGGATACAACTACATGCTGCCTTCCACAAGCAATGACTTCTGATGTGAATATGGAACTTCAGAACATTCTGATAAAACATAAGACTGCAAATCGACTCATCATTCATGTGGGGAAGAATGATATTCATAAAGAACAGTCAGAACTCCTTAAGAAGGATTTCAATGAACTTTTTGAAACACTTAAAAGACTGAAAGTTCAGACATTCATCAGTGGACCACTCCCAGCAAGAGGAACAAACAGGTTTTCACAGTTGCTTGGGCTTAACACATGGCTGCAAAAAACCTGCAATATAAAAGGAGTGAACTTCATTGACAACTTCAATCTTTTCTGGAGTCAGAGAGAACTGTTTCAACAGGATGGGCTCCACCCAAACAAACTTGGTTCAAGAGTGCTAAAGGACAATATCTACTTCTCCCTCAATCATCCTTCTGCAGTGTGTGCCAATCCACTTAACCTGAATGGCACACACACACCTGGACACAGTATGAATGACCACAGGACTTCACTTCAGCACCTGAATGGACATGCGGTTGACATATCACACAAGGACAATGATAACACCATGCAGCCACAACAACTTCTGCTCACGGACACAATCTCAGCAGAGCCCTGCCCACAGAGCTCACCAAAGACAGACCGGGACATATTAGAACTCCTACAAGATTCAGCTCCCAAGGACGAATTTCTGGAAAACAGCGAGGGAAACCAGGACAGCATATTACAGCCTCCGATAACACCAGAGCAACAGCCCCTCTCCCAAGACACGTTATCCCTCTCTGCAGCATCCCCACTTCTGTGCTTCCTAGAGAAAATGGAAAAACTGCTGTATGCTGGAACCAAACTATCCCACTCTTTTGCTGCAAGCCCCCAGATGTCAACCAAAAAAACGACAGGCCCCACAACCACTAAAGCCTGCGGGCCCAGCTCCCCTCCCCCTCCTCCTGTGAGAGCTCTTCGGCCTCTGCCACAGCGCCAGGGCTCACACCCTCCTCCATCGGCTCAAGGTGAACCAAAAACAACTGATACCAGCTCTCAATGATATGTATCGGGTCCCCGCTATGATAACAGTAACTTTCTTAAATGTTTAAAAAACAAGCGGGACCCCAGTGTGCCTGAATCTTTCTCTATTGCTGTTCAATTACATGACAGAAAATCTAAGGCCTTCAAAAGCCGTACAGCAATCTGGTGCCTATTACACGCCAAACTAAGATTGCTGTGGGGACAAAAAGTAAGACTGTTAAGTTAGCACTTTTAAACATCCGTTCACTTAAAAATAAATCACTTCTAGTCAACGACTTAATAACCACATACAACCTGGACTTTATGTTTCTAAATTAAACTGGGCTAGAAGACAGCTGCAGTGCAACAGTCCTCAATGAAACAGCTCCTCCTAACTTTACTTTTATGAGTGTCTGCAGAGCGGGTAAGAGATGAGTGTCTGCAGAGCGGGTAAAAGATGTCTATGAATGTAGGCAAACATCATTTGGGAATTACCCGTCTTTTGAATATCTGGGTATTGTGTTAAAAGGTGCTCCACATATTTTACTTATCATTATTTGCAGGCTTTCAAAATACTCTCCAGCCTTCGATGAGGACTTTACAGAACTGCTATCAACAATTTCCTCAGAGTTTGACTGTTTTGCCATTGCTGGAGATTTTAACATTCACATAGATAATGCAGAAAACAATATGGCTAAAGAAATCAAAACTGTTTTAAAAACTTTTGATCTGACTGAGCATGTACATGGTCCCACACACAATCGTGGACACACTCTAGATTTACTTATCAGTAAGGGTCTAAATATCTCATTGATTGTTATTAAGGATGTAGCACTGTCTGATCATTTCTGTATTTTCTTTGATATATTGATCTCTCCTGCCATTGAAGCTAGATATGTGTCTGTCAAGAAGAGATGCTTAAATGAGAACACTAGTGTGCTATTTATGAAGGCTATATCTTTAAAACCAAGCATATCTGCTGACTCTGTTGATTTTCTCCTTGATTCTTTTAACTCAAAAGTTAAAATTGCAATTGATGATATTGCTCCTGTGAAAGTCAGGAAGAATAGTGGTAGACAAAAAGCACCTTGGAGAAACTCAACAGCTGTGCAAAATATGAAAAGACCATGCAGATTAGCAGAGCACATGTGGCGGAAGACAAAACTTGTAGTCCATTATAACATCTACAAAGACAGCATCCATGCTTTTAATATGGAACTAGGCAAAGCTAGACAGACTTTCTTCTCGAATATTATAAACAGCAACTTAAACAACACACACACTCTTTTTGCCACTGTAGAGAGACTGACAAACCCCCCGAGCCAGATTCCCAGTGAAATGCTCTCAGAGAGCAAGTGCAGTGAGTTTGCTTCTTTCTTCTCTGAGAAAATAAATAATATCAGAAAGGTGATCAGCACATCCTTGAGTTGCGCTGAGGTCAGACAGATCAGACCACAACCGGAGAAAGTAGTTACTATGTCTGTTTTCTAAGAAATTGAAGGCAAAATTTTGGAAGAAACCATACAGCACCTTAAAACATCCACCTGCGCCCTTGACGCACTTCCCACATCTTTTTTCAAAAGTGTGTTAAACAGCTTAGAAGCAGATCTCCTAGTAGTGGTAAATGCCTCACTTCTCTCTGGGAGTTTTCCAAACTCCCTGAAAACTGCAGTTGTCAAGCCCCTCCTGAAGAAGAGCAATCTGGATAAGACCATCTTAAGCAACTATAAACCGATCTCAAATCTTCCTTTCATAGGCAAGATCATTGAAAAAGTTGTCTTCAATCAGCTGAACAAAATCTTAAGCTTGAATGGATACTTTGACAATTTTCAATCTGGTTTCCGATCGCATCACAGCACAGAGACAGCGCTCATAAAGATAATAAATGATATTCGCTTAAATACTGATTCAGGCAAATTATCAGTACTGGTACTACTCGACCTCAGTGCTGCATTTGACACTGTCGATCACGACATACTTCTTGACAGGCTGGTAAACTGGGTGGGGCTTTCTGAGATAGTCCTAAAATGGTTCAAGTCATACTTAAAAGGGAGAGGTTATTATGTGAGTATAGGAGACCATAAGTCTGAGTGGACATCCATGACATGCGGAGTCCCTCAAGGCTCAATTCTTGCACCACTCCTTTTCAACCTGTATATGCTCCTAATGAGCCAAATAATGAGAAAGAACCATATTGCTTACCACAGCTATGCAGACGACACACAGCTCTACTTAGCCCTATCGCCTAACGACTACAGCCCCATTGACTCCCTGTGCCAATGCATTGATGAAGTAAACAGTTGGATGTGCCAAAACTTTCTTCAGTTAAACAAAGACAAAACTGAAGTCATTGCATTTGGAAACAAAGATGAAGTTCTCAAGGTGAATGCATACCTTGACGCTAGGGGTCTAACAACTAAAACTCAAGTCAGGAATCTTGGTGTGTCTCTAGAGTCAGACCTTAGTTTCAGTAGTCATGTCAAAGCAATAACTAAATCAGCATACTATCATCTGAAAAATATTGCAAGAATTAGATGCTTTGTTTCCAATCAAGACTTAGAGAAACTTGTGCATGCTTTTATCACCAGCAGGGTGGATTATTGTAATGGACTCCTCACTGGCCTTCCTAAAAAGACCATAAGACAGTTGCAGCTCATACAGAACGCTGCTGCCAGGATTCTGAGCAGGACCAGAAAATATGAACATATCACACCAGTCCTCAGGTCTCTACACTGGCTCCCAGTTACATTTAGGATTGATTTTAAAGTATTATTACTGTTATATAAATCATTCAATGGGCTAGGACCTCAATACATTGCAGATGCTCACTGAATATAAACCTAACAGATCACTCAGATCATTAGGATCATATCAGTTAGAAATACCAAGGGTTCACTCTAAGCATGGTGAGTCTGCTTTTAGCTATTATGCCAGCCGCAGCTGGAACCAGCTTCCAGAGGAGATCAGATGTGCTCCTACAGTAGTGACATTCAAATCCAGACTCAAAACACATCTGTTTAGCTATGCATTTACTGAATGAGCACTGTGCCACTGTTCGTCCGACTGTTTTTACTGTACTTTATTTTATTTTTTATTCTAAACTGTTTTAATTATTCTTATTTGTTTTGATTATTTTAATTTCTTCTATGTAAAGCACTTTGAATTACCATTGTGTATGAAATGTGCCATATAAATAAACTTGCCTTGCCTTGCCTACAGAGACTTGACTACCATCGCTCGCAAAGACAGCAAAAATGGAAGCGAAGCTTTCTTACAGGAAACTGGTCACATTGAACACATCCTGCACCCTCGAGTACTGAACGTGCGTGTGCTCCGCTCCCAGACAAACAACACACATATTGTGTCCATCACCAGGCGTTATAAAACATACATTTTGAATTGTCTGCTTTGGTCTTGCCATTTCTTTCTCTTTCTTTTCTTTTTTTCCAGACACAAATTGCTCTTTGTTTTCCACAGCACTCATACAAGTGGTTTCCTGAAGACAATTAAGTTAATTACGTGTTTACAGGGACCCTATTTATACACTCGGGCGCTCCGTGCGACGTCATCACACTGCGTCGACCAAAGGTATTGGTGTGAAGTTACACCAGGTTCCGTGAGGACTCGTCTCCATAGCATCAACAACTTACACAGCGTTGAGTTCCATCAAAAGGGAGCTATTGCTTGATGTTGCTACATCCACACCACTGGGTGTCAGTGTCCAAGTTTAAGATGACTGTCACATCAGCCTACCTAACATAAACCCAGAACTACTGAGTGCACCTTTAAAGAATCACAGCTGAAAACATTTTATCATTACCCAGCAAAGCCATCTGTCTGCAGGGAAATGTCTGAGCTTAGCAGCTCACCCAGATGTTCCTTGGGAGGAGGATTAATTTCAGCTTTAGCTGTAGACATAGAATATGTTAATATTTTGTATTTAGCTCCATATTTTCCAGTATTAACAGAAGTCTAATGGAAAATTTACAATAAATGGCAAATAAGTAAAGAAAGATAAAAAAGAAAGAAAAGAATCACCTTTCATTGTAAAAGCATTTACTATGGAATAATATTTGCTGATTTCAACTGGGAGACCCAGACAAGTTGGCTGTATGAATCGAGCTTCATACACAAGGTGAGGCTTGGTCCAGTGCCAGGAAGTCCCTCTTTGAACATCCTGAATCTTTTCCCAAACTTTACTCTCCTTCCCTGCAGAAGGACTAAGTGACTGAGGAGCAGAAAAGAATGCTTCATGTTTTGATTATATTTACACAAATTAAGAATCACCAAGAAAAATAGGTCCTATCTTCTGTTACAAAATGCAGATGGTGAAATACCTTTATGATGCTCTGAATGGATTCTCTGCTTACATCCATTAAAAAGGCCTCCTGTCCAAACAAGCGTACATATGCCGTCAGTAGAGGTCTGTCTTTCGGTAGGTTCTGCCAGTCAGTGAGCTTTAAATGATCAGAGCATAACCATTAACATAATGCTTGACATAAGTTGTACATTTAATAAATCCTGAGACCGAAGATGCTCACAATTTTCATCATAGAGGCAAAATCTGTGAGTTGAGGGATTTTTCCTGCAAACAGCTCTTTGATTCCATCTGTGTGGACACCAAGCTGAAAACATATGAAATATTACATACATGTATAAAGACATGGTATACATCAAATTACACTAAATATTATAGATTTGGTTTGATTACCTCAAGAAGTTGCATGATTCTCCCAATGAAATGAATTTTCCCCTTTAGCATAAGTTTTGAGGGTATGAGACTTTCGTTTTTCAGCATATAAACATCAGTGGATGTCCCAAATAAAAAGTCATCTGAGGGGACAAGAAACAGCATCAGACCATCCCCAGCACCACAAAAGGCTGTACTACAAAGCTATCAATTAAAGGCCTGGTTTCACAGACAGGACTTAGATTAAGCCAGGTTTAGGCCTTAATTAAATTAGGACATTTAAGTAACTTTTATAAACGTGCCTTAGAAAAAAAACATTACTAGTGTGCATCTTGAGACAAAACAATGGCACTAACATATTGCTAGGGTTAAGCCTTGTCTGTGAAACTTTGGGGGAAGAGGTGTAAACCCACCATGGAACCAGTCAAAATGCATGCTCTTGCTGTAGCGATAACTCAGGTGGCCAAGTTTGCGGGTAAGAATCTTCATGGCAATGTTACAGGCAGTAGATCTGTTTAGAAGAAGCAAAGGAATGAGGACAATTCAGATGCTCTGAAAGGAGATGAGGATAACACATTAGACAATTTATCATACTTACAGATTTTGATTATCAGGGGTGCGGGACTTGGCAATTCCTTTGAGCAGAGAGTAAGAGAAGCTGGCAACCTGCAGGTCAATCTCCTCCAAGAGGACCTCAGTTATTACTGAGATCAGAGCTATGGAGGGCTTGGTCTCTAGAAGCACCATGCAGGCCAGCATGCGGATTTCAGAAGGAAGAGTCTTTTGTACAAATAGGTTCAAGACAATATCCTGTACCTGAAAACATACAAAAAGTAGAGAGATGGTCTGCATCTGCTGAAAGGGGTCCTTGCTAGTGGAGACCTATGTGCTCGTGATTTTACGCATACACGAGGGTCCGTGTACATTGCACGTAATGCAAATAGATTGAGTCCATCAACACCCTCAAAGCTTGCACAGTCGTATGCCTCTTTGTGGGATCAAAATTTTTTCTTGGTAACGTTTGGCAGTTTTGATTTATATGCTGTTGAATGTTTGGTTATCACGTTAGCTTACTTGTGCATAAACAACTTCTATCTGATCCTTCTGATTTACTCAGACTTAGTTCTTATTTTGTTTTTGGATCCAGAGATGCTGTACTATTTCAGAAGATATGTAACAGCGCCCCCCTCTGCGCAGTGGCTGAGCAACTACTAGTTAAAGTGAATATAAAAAGTCTTTAAATTGTTATCATCTTATGAATAATTAAATGATACATTTCAATATCGCCTATTATCTACCTTTAAGAGATCATCTAATCTATCAGATATGTTGACAAATTCAGATGTTGTTAGAATTTTTTTTTGCTTTTATACAAGGCTGTTTCCTGTGCAGAAGTTGTGCCGCATGCCAGAATTTAATACAATTTAATAAATCTATATGTCCAATGACAAAAAATGCTTTAAAATGAATGCTTATATCACATGTACTACTCGCAATGTTATCAATTTGCTAAAGTGTCCTTGCCAAAAGATATATATTGGAAAATAATCACAACAATTTAAATCACAGATTAATGAACATAATGTCATGATTCTGCCATCATGTTATTGATTATTCCTAGTCTTGTGGCAGGATCATGACAGAACCATGTTTTGTGTACAAGCGCATGGCCAATTGTTTGGCCATTGGCCATGTGCTTGTGGTGTCTCGTTACGTTACCCCGCCCCCTTGTTATCCTCGTCTTGTGATTATTGTCTAGTCAGTTTCACCTGTCCTCGTCATTAGTGTTCCCTTTTTAATCCCTGTGTATTTGCTGTCCTGTGCCGGTTCATTGTTTGATGTGGTGTGATTCTCTGTGAGTATATCTGTTGAGCATAGTTACACCCTGTGAGTATTTGCCTACTGTTTTGTCCTGAGAGAAAGTCCTATTCTTTGTTTACCGTTTGTTCTAGTCTAGTTGTTCATCAGTCCTAGTTTTGTCATTACGTTTACTGTTCATGTTTTGCCCCCTCGTGGGTTTTGTTTTCTGTTTATAATAAACTTTGTGTCACTGCATCCTGTCTGCGCTTGGGTTCACCTTCCACCCTCATAACACATAAATCAGTGGCTAGACATTTCAATGAGCTAAAAGAGATGATATAAATAATTACTGAAACGAGAAGCAGCTCTTTCTGGCAATTATGATCAACTACATGTGACAACTGTCTCCCACATTCTCCATCTGTCTGGGCTATAGAGAAGGGTGGCAAGACTCAAGCCAAAAACCCAGCTAAACTTTGCAAATATATATATATCCAATCTCCCGAAACCATCTGGAAAAATGTGTTATGGTCAGCTGAGACCAAGATTGAACTATATTGCCAAAATTGTAAAAGGTATTTTTGCCGTGAAAACAAAACATCAGCAAAAGAACCACCCCAGGCTCATTGAAAAAATGTACCTGTGGCAACATTTTGCAAAATGATATGCACTGTGCAATTTTCGTGACAGTTTCAAAGTGAAATGCCCAGTGTGAGTGGCGCTAAAAGCATGTTCAGTTTTATCTGAAACAGATGAACGTGATTCCGTTTGGTGTACGTAAGTATTTGCTGTTTTACTGCCTCTAGTGTTCATTTATATTGGAAACTTCAGTGATATGGATGTATTGGTACATATTTTGCAATTTGCAGAAATGTTGCCACAGGTTCGTTTTTCCAATGAGCCTATGTTGAAAAGAACACCATGCCCAAGGTGAAGCATGGTGGTGGCAGCATCATGCTTTGGGGCTGCTTTTCTTCAGCTGGAACTGGGGCTTTAATGAAGGTGGAGACAATTAATAGCTCATGTCAGTATTTCTCTGCATTCAGCTTTTCTTTTACCTTGACCAGTGAGCAGTCCCTGCCGCTGAGAAACACACCCACAGCATGATGCTACCACCACTATGCATCACCTGTGGAATGGTATTGCATAGCTGATGAGTGGTGCCTGGTTTCATCCAGACATTTTGCTTGGAACTGATATTCATTAAACCGTAGAAAGGTGTTTCTCAGTCTGAGGGCCCTATTTTTACGATCTAAGGGCATGGTCTAAAGCGTACGGCGCAAGTGCACTCTAGGCATGTCCGAATCCACTTTTGCTTGTTTAACGACGGGAAAAATGGTCAGCGCACGGCGCATGGTCTAAAAGGGTTGTCCCAATTCTCTTAATGTGTAATGGGCATAACGTGAAATAAACCAACCAGAGTCTCATCTCCCGTTTCCTTTAAAAGCCCTTTAGACCAGGTTTTTGTTGGTTAGTGGCGCAGTCTATTTCAGTTGCCTCAAAATAGCAACGTGCCAACAATGCGGCTTAACACACCTCATTTTCAGACCAGCACACCTATGGGTGCACAAATGGGCGCAAATGCATGAAAATGAATGTGAAAATGATAACGGCTTCGGGCTGAAACGTGAAACATGATCTCTGGAGCTCAACTTGAGTGACTACTGGGTTCTTAGTCACCTCTCTTACCTAACCCTTCTACCCCGATTGTCAGTTTGGCCAGACGGCCATCTTTAGGAAGAGTTCCGGTTGTCTTAGCCTGGATTTAAGAATTATGGAGGCCACTGTGCTCTTGGGAACCTTTGATGCCCAACATTTTCAGAAATTTCAGATCAGTGCCTTGACACAATCCTGTCTCTGAGCTTCATGGCTTGGTTTTTGCTCTGATATGCATCAGCTGTTAGACCGTATACATATAGGTGTGTGCCTTTCCAAATCATGTCTAACAAAATGTCACAGGTGGACTCCAATCAAAGTGTAGAAATGGTCCAGATACATGTGATGCACCTGAGCTAAATTTCAAGTGTCTGAATACTGTTATCAATGTGATATTTCAGGTTTTTTTCCTGTTAAATATGACCGACGTCATACACCGACGGCATGGCTGACACCGCCGTCGGTGTATGAATGAGTGAGTGAATGGGTGAATGCGAGGCAATATGTAAAGCGCTTTGGTGGCCATTGGGTCTGTGAAAGCGCTATATAAATGCAGTCCATTTACCATTTTACCATTTTAAATACATTTATCTTTGCCACTTTCCTTGCCACTGTCTCCTTTTGGCTTGCTTAGTTGGGGACACTTAATATTATTTATTTGATTGTACTGAGACTATTGGAATAAGAACTGAACTGTGTTCTACAGTCATTACTGTTTTCTACAGAGTTGCTTTATAACTGAATTGAACTAATATAATATTTAATGATCTTTACACAGTTATTGAACGAAACTGAATCAACACTATGCTGACCGCAACTGAACAATGACACTATTTTCTTTTTAGAGCTGCTTTAGGCAGAATCAAACTTTGTTCGCATCATTGAATCATTATTTCCATGTTTATACATGTAAAGCTGCTGTGAAACAATCTAAAATCGCTATATAAATAAAAGTGACTTGATTTGAGTACTTACACTGTGGGGGTCTCTGTATGCAAGCAGTCTGAATGCCTGGACTGCAGCACCCTGTACTCTGGTTGGAAGCTTTTCAGCTGCAGGTGAGTAGCCTGGAAGGAACTTTAGTAGAGTCTTGATGCTGGAGGGATGAGCTGCATTTGCTAAGGCCTTTAGTGCAAGGACCATGTCCTCCTCAGAGTTTTTACTAAGACTACTTGCAGCCATATCCAGTAATGGCTGGACAACAAAGGACAAGAAAAAGGTAAATATCAGAGAAATAAGTTTTATAAGAAATAAGAAATACATAATACTAGCAGATTATAAAATATGATATTGGTACGAATCAACCAGCATATAGAAGTGGGAGACCAAATATACCTGCACCACAGTGACAGGGCAGGGATCAGTATACACACAGTATCTGTATAAAAGTGATCCATATGCCAAAACCACAGTGTTCCACAGGAGAGTTGGGGATTTACTGAAAGGAATTGTCAAGAACTCCTGGAAAGCAGAACACAGTATCAGAAGGACAGTAAAATGCCATTAATGATTATAACAAATATTTCACTAGGTCACTGACTCACCTGAGCTAATGCCACTGGCACAGGCTCAGCAGACAAGTGGTTAAATGCCACTACAAGTGCCTGTCCTGCCTCATTCGCTGTAATGTCTCCTACTTTGAATCTGGTCTCAAGGAATTTGAGGATCCTCTCATCTGTTACCTCCACAACCAAGTCCAGGAACCACCTCCTGAAGACCAAAAAATAAGAGTCAGTGGAAGAAGTTCTTGGATCATATAGTATTTAGAGAAGTGTACAGAAAATACCTGTGCTCATCATTTCCTGAGACCTGCTTCCATAACTGCTCTAGATTTTCATGTGTTGCCACTCGTAGCAATTGGATTAGATCCAGAATATCCGTGCTGCTAGCGCTGTCCACGTGATATATGTTAGCCTGAGCTAAGCGCTTAATTAAATCTAAAATCTGTGGAGTACAGAACAATTAAAAATGTTCACGAGTTAATCTACACGTGTATGGTTGAATATTTATGTGTATAATCTTGGAGGTTTGCCTTTGGCACTGGGTCGTTCAGGTTGATCATCACAACAGGAATTGGTTTAAGGTCCTTATCTGTCTTGTACATTAGGTTGCCTCTGCTTTGCACCTGTCCAGTCACTATTTTGTCAGCTGTGTCTGAAACTTTGAGAAGCTCAATGTTCCGTCTGCAGAAGGGAACGCAACAAATGTCATGCACAATCAGCAGTCTTGCAACAATTTGTTAGCTGATGACTATATAAAGCACTTACAATGCCAACATTCGAGAGTTTCCTCCCTTTACATTGAACGGAGAGAAATATTGGCGCTCCTGAGAGGATGCTTTAGTGATCAGACCGCCATCTGCTGTGGACTTCACTGTGTAGGTGTGTTTCACTGTGGAAACAGCACTCTCACCCCTCTGTAAGTTCAAACAGCATTCAGATCAGTTCAAGGTTGAACTTTCAGATTTTTAATTTTCAAGATTTTAACTGAAATTAAATGAAACACACACCTGTTTGCTAAGTTTGTCTTCAGGGGCGTGAGCCATACCGCTGTACAAAGCAGCTGGCTGTTGACAGTTTTTGATATCAACCATTTGGGTCACTATCAACTCTTTGGCATTGGAGTCTTCTTCAACAATGTAACTGCTCTGACATACACCATGAATTCCCAACTAAAGACATACAAAAATACATTTTGTATTTTCCATGAGGTCATTCTCTTATTAATGGCTGTTTTGTTCTATTAACATGTAGATTTCATACTGTACCTCCACCAGTTCGTAAAAACTTTGTGTTGTTTTGACTGTGACTTGTAAAAATCCAAGGATCCCCCTCACAATATTTACAACTGCGTTTGAGACCCCAGGTGCTGTCCGAATGTCAGTAATTTGTCCCTTGGAGAATTCAAAAACGATTGGCTGGCTGAACTCGGCAGATAGACGCTTAGTGAGCTTTTCGGAAGGGCTAAATACACTTTTCCCAGGGATGCCATTAAAGTCTTCAAAGTCTACATTTGAAATCTTTAAAGGAAAAGCACATTTTATAGAATGATTAGACATTATTTAATTATTCTTAATATCCACTGACTCAAGAATAAATAGTATATCATACATTTTAGTTTAGAATAATTGAAAAATATTAAAATGTGATGGAATTGGAGCAAAAGTGTTAGTACCTGAAGGACAAAGGTTTGTGGCGATTCACCAATGATTTTAAAAGTGCACCTCAGCTTCAGCGCTGACTCAATCAGGTCTGGCATTTCCTGTCCCACTCGTACCAATCCCTCATATTTATACTCGTACGTTTTTTTAGAGTTCAAGAAAGGCTCTAAAATGTCGGCCATTGAGAAATAATGAAACAGTATGTATCAGAGTCCTAAATAACTAGTTTTTAAAATATTTATTATTTATAAATTATTTATAGACATATACATCATGTATAATAATAAAAATCATATTATAGTATATCTTAGAATAAAGAGGCAAGCATAGGTTTTTGTACATTATTTTGTTTACATACCATAATTGTCAGTCTCGCTGGCTAATGGAGGGGAAAGAAAAACTTTATTATTCTCCTTTAAGCATTAAAGTACAAGTTTAATGGGAAAATATTCATTTCTAAATAATATTTAAACATAAATTATCATTACCACACTCTGCATGCAGTTGCATCTGGCTTAACAGTTTTTTTTTTTTTTTTTATTTGTACTCACCAGCCAGGGCTACCAGGAGACAGAGACACAACCGCCACATGATTTAGTCCAGATGTGGTATCAGTCTCTTGGACACCATCTTTTATAGGGAGCTCTGTCTCCCTCCTACTCTCTTATCTGATGCAGTTAGTGAGGTAAAGTGACCCTGTGGTATTGATAATACAGTCTTAGAATATTGTAATCATCTGCTGGCGGTAAATAGATTTCCTATTTAGCACCTAAACTCTGAAACAGTCTTCCTAGAACTGTTCGTAAAGCAGGCACACTCTGTCAGTTTAAATCTAGACTAAAACACATCCCTTTAACCTGGCATACTCATAGCACATTATCAATTTCTATTCAAATCATGTAAAATGATTATTAGGCTGCATAAATTAGGTCAGCTGGAACCGGGAACACTTCCCATAACACCCGATGTACTCGTTACATCATAAGAATCATGGCATCTATGCCACATATTAGTCTCTCTGTTTATCCAGAGGTTTACCATTGTCAGCTGTATCCGGGCCGTATCCAGATCTGATGAAGGACCTGCGCCTAGACACGACCACAACGCAGCCCTGAAGTGTCAACAGAGACCGTGTCAACCTCTGTACAGATGAAAACATTATCAAAATAACTAAACGACTAAAAACGCTGTATTATGCATGCCAGACAAGTAATTGGCAATCTCACTTTGTAAAGAAAAACCTCATGCCCGTGCACATAAGCATTCAAACGTGCATGCCTATAGACTAAACACGTAATACGCATAATGAATGCTGTCACCGTTTACACAGATTAACGTTTTTGAAGTTTACATGGAGATGATAACGGTATCGCTTTCAAAACTTATTTTCAAATACTTGCACTTAGACTATCTACTCCAAAGTTCGCGTTCTCAGGCCACCAAAAGCTGTTGTCGTGTAAATGAACGGCTAAGAACGTACTTAAAAACGGTGTAGTGTAAGCGGCCCCTAATTAATAACTAATGATTTACAACGGAAATGAATCAATCAAAAACTTACTTAAGTTAGACAATGACTTTCTTCTAGAGCTGCTGTACAGCCGAAACAATCTTTGTTGTATTAACTTCCTATTATCAATGTAAAGCTGCTTTGAAACAATCCTAATTGTAAAAAGAGCTATATAAATAAAGGTGACTTGACTTGACTTGTGGCACCACATTTGTTCTGGTGCAACAGGTATATATATATATATATATATATATATATATTTATACTTTTTTTTTGCTAAAAGTTTAAAGAATACAACATTTAAAATATATATGTTACGTCTTATGCTTGGTCACCAAGGATTTTGTGTAATTGCATGAGTATGTTGTGTAATTGTATGAGTATTGCAAGAATATTTTGCAACATAAAAAGTAGAAATTTTTCATCACATTGGCAGTATGCACATATGTATGTTAAGTCCATTGCTATATATAACCTTATGTAATTTAATGAAAAATGTTATGTAATGGAAAATTATTCTGTAAATGTATATAGTCTATGAGAATGAAACACACTGGTTTGTGTTGTAGAAATAGTTTGAGTAAACAGAACTAGGGGACAAAGGTGTGAGACAGGTCAGTGTGATCACAGACAGTGTCATCATAACCCATTAGGAGAGCATGTGACCTGGTTAAACAAATAACAAGATCACACTACAAAATTTTAGTAGGTGGATCCCCTCCCAAGGTTTTTTTTTTTTTGGCCTGACTTTTTTGACAGTATTCAAATAAAATTACTCATAAAAATTAAATTTATTTAAATTTAAATATAAATATAATTTAAATATAATTTCCCTCACCTAGCCTATCACTTGAAGCAAAAATCCATCATTCTGTCCTTTAAATGTCTGTGTTAAAAGAGCATGTTTGGCCATTTAGTAAAGCTGATTTCTGTATAGCCTATAGTCTATATCTTAGGTGTGGGGCCTTCATTTTTATTTTGTAGCGGTTGTTCGAATGCACAGCAGTCTGTTTGTAATAGTTGTGACTTGATGTTTTCTATAGCACCAGCATTTACGGGGTTAATGCAGGGAGATTAGGAAGTGCTGTGAGAAAATATAATTTCTGCGTAGGCTGCTATGCCTATTGTTATGGTTGTTCTGCGTTCTGCATTAAAGCTTTCAATGAAGAGCTCCTTTGTTTGTCTTTCTTAAGACATTACAGAAGTTTGGTAATATCAGCGGTAGAAGTTCAAACTAATATAATGTAATTTACATCTCTTCGTTGATTGGTTGATATTCCAAGGGAGGCTGGTGTAACGGACGTAGGCTAGTAACGCTGTGCGTGTAAACCTCACTGACTTCAACCTGACTTCAAGAGGTAAGCAACTGACGTTAGCGTTAACTAAAGTTAGCGGTCTTTAGTGCCCTTGTTACATTACATTCAACTGTCAGGTGGTTGTTTTGACATTGGCTGCCATGAGGCCATTATAACATTTTAATGACAAATTCAATTTGTACCACTGTAGTTGAGGTCAAGAAAAATATTCACGACACAGTAATGGGCTCATGACAGCCAATGTCAAAACCAACCACATGACAGTTTAATGTAATGCTTACCCATAAAGCTAAGTGGTTTCTTAAGTTTGATAATTAATCTGCTATGTCATGTTATAGGCATATTTATGACAATTTATGTTGTCTTGGTAATGTCAAATTGTCATTACCAAGACACTGACAAGTTATGATGTATTGGTCAAGTTCATAACAAGTTCATTGGTCAAGTATATGTCAAGTTGTCATAACAAATACATCTCAAACAATGTCATATTTGCATTAAAAATGTCATATGAGTGAATGACACTTAATCATAGTTGTCATAAACATGCATAAAACCTCCTTCATATTCATGACATGTGTCATGTCATGATTATGAAAGTGTCATGTCAGTCTTATGCACACCCCTTCAAGTAAAGTGTTACCTTTGTTTTTTTTTTACGAACAGAGGCACAAGTCTCCGGCTATGGATTTGCCTCCCCCTCCCCTTCTCTATCCCCTCCGACTCACCTTAGCAGAGTTTTCCAAAAACATTTGTAATTACATCGGCAGATTCGGGACATTCGGGGAAGAGCTCGGTGGTTAAAAATTACAAACAAGAAATATCTATTCTGAGACATGCAATTAATAACTGGCAATTTTATTAACATTAAATTGTCCTTCTCAGATTTTCGCTGTGCCTCCCTTGATGAGCTGCCACAAATATTTTTATTTAAATATAAATAAACACACATAAATACAATTATCGTGATTAGGGGTCATTTCCCATTCTAAAATCTTTTTGTAAAAATATTCCTTGATTGCCTGTGACAGAAATTCTTAAGTCATTAGTTTAACCATTTATCATGCCATTCCAAATCTCTAAGACTTTTGTTCACCTTCAGACACAACTAATAAACACATTTTAATATATATATTTATGTCCATGATAGTAAATTCTGCCATAATTTTCTAAATATCTGAGGTCAATTTAAATATGTAGCATTCTTAATTAATAGAATAATGCAATTTCTGGGATCATTTAAGGATTCTGTTCTGGCTGCTCTCTACTTATTGTATTTTTCTTGTTTCTGTAAATTTTGTGCACATGGCTCTGTCTTTGGCTGTGTCTGAAAGCTGAAATATTTAAGTATGGAAGTAGAAAGGTAAAAAGGCATTTCCCAATCCAATGATTGTGTCACATCCTGTCTACTGAGATACCTTCATGTGATCGATTTTTGAAGGCAGTATAGATATATCCTTCGCTCCGCTGCCTATCTCCCACTATCCTGTGCCTTCGATTCTGTGACTGTGTCGATTCTGTGTAAAAATTACATCTGTTTGTTTGTACATTTTGACCAACTTTTTCCACTTTTAATGTATAGCAAAAACAATTGTACTATAGTAATTAAATATCCACTTAGTTATCACCAATCCTCCCTCTATTTTCTTGTAGATGTTTAAGCCATTATGCTTCTTCAGAAGTCTGTCCAAAATCAGTTTCATGGACAAACACTGCCTGCAGTCATTGCCCGATAGGGCAGTGAGGCAAAAAGCCAGCTGCCTAAGCTTTCGAATGCAGACTTTTTTTGTGTCTGACATGTGCTCCCCTAATTCCCGCCCCCATGTTTCCTTTTTCCATGCACCCTCATTCAACCCTTGTCTAGTTCACGCTCTGTTAATTGCCAGCACCTGTTTCTCATAGTTTTCCCCCTCCATTTATTGTGTTTTATCCTATCCATTAGATTGTTTTGTGCATTATTATGCCAGGAGTGGATTGTGCCCTTTGCTCTAGTTCCTGTGTTGCTTCTAGTCCTCTTCTGTGTTTTGCCCCAGTTCTATACCCAGAAGGGCCTGCCTACTTGTTCCAGCTTTGTTTGACATTACTGTATATTAAATATAGTTTCAGATTTATTAACTCTGCACTTGGTTCGACATGAACACATCAAAGGAGATAAATGTTTTTATTAGTCCATAATGCGGTACATAGAAAATCATCTTAGACAATTAGTTGTCAGAAAGAAAGAAATATTTTGCTATTGACTGTAAAACTTATAGCTGCTGAATGTAATTGGTTATAAAACTTCTACATCATAGCATTCAGTAACATTTTAGTTTTTATAACATTTTAATACTTTTCTCTCAAAAAATAAATATATTGGAACATTCGCACACATTTTCATAAGTACATCTTTATAGTGCTTAGATTTAAAAGCATTTGCAAACTGGCACTGAAGTTAATCTCTCTTGATAAAGTTTATCGCAGACACTCAAAACAACATGGAATATTCTTGAATAATCTGTAGTACTCCTCTTGAATCTGACGATAAAAGAGAAAACATTTGCATTTAA